ATGAATAAGATAAATGATCACAAAGTCCTACAACATAATTATCATATTCTAAAAACAAGTTATGTATTAACCTTTCATGAATTATTGTTTATCAACTTCATAGTTTTGTCTAAGATTGTTCTTAATTTAAATTGTGCTTATATGTAATATCTTGCACTGTGAGAGGAATATAGATAATCATAAATGTTCCCAAACAAATGTGTGATTTATTCTCAAGAAGTGAAAACTATATGTTAATCAATCATAAATATGTACTCACCAATACAGTACTCATAAAGAAAAACAATCAATGTAAGCAAAAGAATGAATGAAGATTTTGCTATGAATTGAAAGTTGTTACCTGGTTGAAGATCAACAATAATATTTAATACTTAAGTGTGTTTTTTTAGACTCCTATTGATTGAAATCAATCACAAACCAGAGAGAGAGAGAGAGAGAGAGAGAGAGAGAGAGAGAGAGAGAAAGGGAACTGGTTGGCAGCATATGGAATCATGAGAAAGCTAAGTTAGGGTTAAGAATGTGCCCAAACCAGAACTACTCTGGAGACTAAGAAGCAGGAAAAGTTGAGTGGGAAAGCAGCTGTTCAAGGGAAGTGATGAGATGGAGGCTGGTGGCAATCTGAATAAAGGTCTATGGATAATAATATCTATATTCCGGTGGAGTCTATGAACATTTGATTGGAGGAGATTGAAGAAAAAATGGGGAAAAAAAAGAAGCCACTCTTTTGAAAAAATTTCTGTTAGGGGATCCCAGGAAGACACACGGTCAAGGGAGGTTTGTCTGTCTTTTAGATGGCATGCTTTTATAATAATGGGACTGAGTCACTGGCTGCAAGTGTCCCACGGCTAGATCCTTCCCATCCTTCATGCTCCAGCACTGTCACCTACTGGCCCTAGTCTCATTATGTTGTTTTATTTCCATACAGTGCTTGTTCCTGTATCTAATGACCCTCTGTATTTGTTTGTCTTCCAACTGAAGTATGGGACTCATGAGAGCAGCAGCTTTGTCTTGCTTGTCTCTGTGACTCTAACATCCAGAAAAGTGCCCATCACATTGCAGGACCTCAGTATTTGTGGGATAAATAAATAAACACAGGGATGCCTAGAACTTCAGCTGTTTCCATGGATTAAGATTCAATGTCCCAAGATCCAGTTTGCTGAACAACCAAGTTCTGATGCCATTTAGTCCTTTATCTGGACAGGCTCCGTTCCCCCTTAGGTTATGTGATAGGGTTAGGTACCTAAATTTACTGTCCCTCCAAAGCTACATAGAAGGGAGAGAAGACTTCCAAACAGGGAAATCAAATACTGCTAGGGATCCCCACTGACAAATGTTCATTGCAAGAAAGGACAGTAAGGATGGAGAAGAAATGTTCATTTCTTACCATAAACAAGCCATAAATGAAGAGTTTACATTCCTTCTCGTTTAGTTTCATCCCAACAAAGACTTTAGGACCAAGGGTTGATAAGTCTCTCTGCTCACATAGATAAACATCCCATTATGATTTGGATGAAAGGTGTCCCCCAAAAGCTCACATATGAGACAATGCAAGAAGGTTCAGAGGAGAAATGATTCAGTTGTGAGAATCTTAACCCAATCAGTGAATTAATAGGGATTAACTGAGGGTTAATTGAAGTGGCAGGGTGTGGCTGGAGGAGGTAGGAATTGGGTGTGTGGCTTTGTGGTATATATTTGTATCTGGCAAGTGTTTCTATTTCTGTTTTCTGATCGCCATGTGAGCTGCTTTCCCCTGTCACACTCTTCTGCCATGATATCCTGCCTCATCTCAAGCCCCAAGGGAATAGAGCTGGCCTTCTATGGACTAAAACCTCTGAAACTCTGAGCCCTCAAATAAACTTTTCCTCCCCTAAAACTCTTCTGGTCAGATCCTTTAGTCACAGCAGTGAAAAAGCTGACTAAATCACATCCCTCTCCATTAAAACAGGCTGGAAGCCTGGAGATAATTAGACCCACTGTGTCCAGCAGTTAGCAACACAGGGAAGAAACAAAAAGATAATGACAAGGGGCCAGAACATTCCTAAGGGATGCAGAAGGGCAGCATTTGCAATCAATTGGAAGATGTTTTGGTGATTGTGCTTCATGGACCCCCCTGTGCTTGTCTGTGCCACGTTGGTTACTCTGGATTCCCTATCATCTTTCCCCTTTCCTCCTGTCTTCCCCTCACACAAACATACTTCCCCAGACTCTCAGACATGGGAATGGTTGCCTTGCATTCATCACAATGGGAGTGTAGTGAACAGCTGTAGGCCAGCAGCCCTGTCCTCCATGGGACCCTACCTCCAAAGAGGTGGCTCTGTTTGCTTTATTTTTTTATTTTTCAATGCTTAGAATCTGCTAAGTTAGAAGAGCCTTTTGTAAATCCAAGGCCTGCTTTATTTATTTATTTTTCCAACAGGACCATTATGGCTTCTAGAATGATAACCTTGGTAGAACAGCTCCATGGGGGTTGGGACAGTAGTGGTGCACTACTACCATGACCAGCACAAACTGGTATTTCACTTTGTGTTTGGGAGAATAAAATAACAAATAAACAAAATAGAAGGTGAGTGGACAGATGAATCAAGCAGAGACTCCAGAAACCTCCACTGCAGCTCTTTCTCTCCTTCCTCATGTTCAATGGCTTCAGATGGTGACACCACTTCGTGGAAAGTTTATTCTGTTCTGTTTTGCTCTTTTCTCATTGCTACGTTGTTTTTCTCCTATTATTCTTTATGATCCTATTAATACTGACTTATCTGAGTTTGAAAAGATGTCCTTATCTTTAATGTCTAATAAACATTAGCAGTAGAGCATACAAAACATGTATACTCCTTAAACCCACGAGCCCCTCCTTGTTACATGTACATATGTTATTCCTTTTATTATTATTATTATTAATGGTGGATTGAACCCAGGGGCACTTAACCACTGAGTCACATACCCAGTCCTTTTTATTTATTTTTTTATTTTGAGACAGGGTCTCACTAAATTGCTTGGGGTCTCACTAAGTTGCTGAAGCTGGCCTTGAACCTGTGATCCTCCTGCCTCAGTCTCCTGAGTTGCTGGAATTACAGAATAGCACACGACTGTACATATGTGATTTCTGATCCTAAGAAAACCTACATATTTGACAGGCTACCAAGTAAGATTTTTATTTGTTTATAAGAGCCACCATAAACTTACAGTGTTTTTCCAGTTTCAAATAATATCAATGATGGCAGTTCCAGTGATTGACATATATCCCTTGAAGTTTTGTTATAAATCCTTTTTTTTCCTTTAGAGTATTTTAAGAATAGTTTTCTTAAATTTCAGCTTAACTTTTAAAAATAAGATTATTTGAATGATTTTCATTTATAAATATATTTCTTTAATATCATAAAAGAGCAATACCATTCATTTCATTAGTTAGCCTGTTTGTTCTAGGGTCCTGTAAACCAATATATTTTCAACAAACCTGATAATTTCTTAACCATCTCCAGAAAACCTTCCCATGTAGTATTTCTTCATGAAGAAGTGAGAATGGAAAAGTCAGTTCATTTTTTCAAGGACTTTTAAAAGTCTGTTTGTACCAGCTATATCTCTTTTCCTCTCTTTTTCATCAGTGAGATGTATGATAAGATTAATAATCATTATAAATAATCAGTGCCTACAGTGCCTTTCACCAGCCTCTGATGACCTTCTTTTCATAAAATATTTTAGAGCAACATTACTCTAAAATGCAGGAAAGTATAACCCACTCTGGATTTTTAATAAAATGGGTTAAAGAAACAGAACCAAATTTTAAATCTGGATGTAAGGAACAGTTCAAGTAATTCTTTTAAAAATAAGAAGACTAGGGGCTGGGGTTGTGGCTCAGGGGTACATGCTTGCCTCGTACATGTGAGGCCCTGGGTTCAAGTCTCAGCATTACATAAAAATAAGCAAATAAAATAAATATATTTTTAAAAATAAAAAGACTAAAATATAGAGAGATGATTTTCTTATCCACTATAGGCTGCTATCTAGATGAAAGGTCAGTAGCTCAATCTTTTTTTTTCCCCACACCTACCCAGTTAAGTGTCGACTTTATCATTCAGAACACCAACTGCTAAATGTTCTTAATTTTACTCATGTAAAATTTACTCATGTTGTTTTACCAAGAGGCTACATGACTTGCAGTTATATTGAAGGAGCAAATGCTAATTACACTCTTTAATGGAGACATTTCAGTTATTAATTCCTACTGCTGTGGTAGTTCTTTGATCTATATGCTCCAATCCTAGGGAAAAAAAATTCTATGATTAGACATTGCTGTCATTCCCACCCAATTTATTTTGATATAGGCTGTGTGAGTCAGTTGGGTGAACTCAGGACACAGGAGTGGTTCTGATCTGTAGATGGCGAAAGCTCCTATGGGTACTTCCTGCCAGAGGCAGGAAGCGGAGTGGACACAGGCTTACTCGGGGCCACCAAGGCCTCCAGGGAGAGGTAAAACAACTATCTAGGAGAAAGTGACCTAAAACCGGGAAGAAGGTGCAGTGGCTACAGATGAATGATGACCATGAGCAGAATACCACCTGACCAGCACAATGGATCACCTCTGTAAATCCTGTTAGAAAAGAAGCTTGAACAGGAGGATGGCTGGGTGGGGTCTTCTGTCTGGAGTCTAAGCATACCCGGGGAAAGTCTTCACAATAAGAGGCCAGTAGGGAACCCAGTGCTTGCTTGCACGCCAACCCATTTCTGGGTGTGCACTCCTTTCAGACAGTGGTGTGACCGTTTCCTTAGCACTGGTTCTGGATGTAAACATGTCCTGGTTTGAGCACAAAACCCACTGTCTCTATTCCACTTTGAGTGGGCTTTCCAGAAATGATGACTGTGTGATGATTCTTCATCTGTCCTCATGCCTGGATCTGATTTGTGAGATGTTTCAAGGCCTTACTGTGGCTTTGTAACTGATTTTTTGCTTTGGAAAATTAACTGTCCTTACCATGGCCATTGTGGTTGCCTAGCAACAAGGGACAGCAGAGCAGTGGCAGGGATTCCAAAACTCTAAGGGATGGGGATAGTTGATGTCTGTCCCATGGATAGGGTATCCCAGTGGGCCTGGCTTGAGATGGGAGAATGTTACAGCAAGACAACTGTAGCCCCAGGCTCTGAATCCCTTGAGACATACAGGTGAGTTCTCTGCTCCTCCTGCCTCAAAAAAATTCATTTGACTATGTGGATACAGCAACCTCACTTCAAACATAATCTTCCTTTAAAGTCTGTGGGAGAATATCAAACAGATTTTATTCCTTTCCTGGAGAGTGACTGGTATTATTATTATTATTATTATTATTATTATTATTATTATTATTATTTTCCCCCTGGGTATTGCTGTCTTTCCAGATCATGGGGCAGGATCTGACACACCATAGGTTTCAATAAATATTTGTTAAATAAATAAAATGTCCCCTCATGTGCACCTCTCAAAATTATACTCACCCACCCGAGCCCTTTTACCCGTGTGGGACAGGCAAAGATGCTGAGCCAATCTTCTTTCCAAACTACTGATATGAAATGTCTCTGACACACTGTCCCTACAGGACCATACACATACCCAAAATGCTGATCATTCTTTCTCTCCCAGTTCCCCAAATAAAACACAAACCAACCCTGGCTCAAATATGAAAGTATGCTTCACCCCTATAAGTGATTTTCAGTCAATCACTAGAAAACTTGCATGTTGGCTCTATACCTGTTTCCCCTTCCAATGTGGAAATAACTTCTATTTAGAATTTTCCTTCAAACCTTCGATGAGAGACAACCATGCTTACTCTGTAGAAGGAGATGTCTCCTGGAGGGTAGTATCCTGGGTGGGGTGTTTACATGTAACCACGCTTCTGCTTGCTCCGTTTTAAAACATATTTTATTTATGTCAATGTGTGGGAGCCTCACTTTTAACCTTGGGTCTGTGGTTCATGCATGATGTGAGAAATTCATAACTTTCCAACGATTTTATGAAAACTTGTTGGTTACTATATGTAAAAGAGTCCATGACCCTCAAAAGATGTTTCTGGGAGGGAGAAGGTGCTTTTGTTTGTTAAAGCAAATGAAATTTAGAAACACTCATTTTCTTCTTATTTCCCTCAAACACGTAAGCGAATATGCAGACAGTTGGAAAGGCAAATGTAACTTTACCAAACATCGGGGGCTTGGGGAGCCCTGACACTTTAAAATGACTAGCCCAGTGTGTGGTCACCACAGTAGCCAAGTGAAATCAGGACAGTACTCTCACTGTAAATTACCGTTAGTGTCTTTGTTCTCCTGGCACATGGAGCTTGTGCTCTGGGCAGGCAGAGGCTGGGCTTTTGAGGCCGAAGACAGGGGAACACCAAGCTACCCTCTTGATCCTTAGGTGGGTTCAATTTAGCTCCTTCCTTTCTGAGTAGGAACAGACTGATCTCAGTGTAACTTTGCCTGACCTTCTCCTTCTGCTTCCTCTTCTCTTCTCATGCCCTTGACACAGACCTTCTCCACAGTTTACATAAACTGAATGGGAACTTGCTCCTAAATTGTCTAAGTAAGGGAAGGTTAGGCCCAGATGCAATTAACCTAGGGAACAAAAAAGCATTTTCCCAGGACATCTGCTGTTAAGAACTGGGTGCTCAGTAGCAGTATTTCCCAACCCATCTTAATAAAATCATCTGTTCACATCGACTCATTAGCGACTACTACTCCAATTTGACACAGAAAGCATGGAGTTAAAAGGTCAGAAATCAGATAACAGTATTTCACTAAAAGGAAAGAAATTTTTATGATCTTTTAAAGCACTGAGAAAGAAAGAAAATAACAACAACAACAAATATGTCATATTGTTAGTACCTGTCAATAGAGGTTTAATGAATTTTTTCCAGTTTTCTCCATGAACCTGCAAGTAAGAAACAAGATGCAATAAAAGCAAGCTTCATAAATATATTGGCTAATTCTAATTTGTGTTATCTCAGGGCTAATAGGCTTTCTGAAGCTTTTCTTAATTATTGTTCAACATGATTTCTCTGTGTATGCTGAGTTACTATGGTTACTCTGAGGCCGGGACTCATGACCTTTAAATATTGCTGTCAGGAGGCCAAAGCTCCCTAGTTTTTAAATCAGTAGTTTTGTTTCAGGCATTATTAATAGAGGGTAGTTTCAAATAGCACTTTCTAAGTGCACTTATGGCCTCGGTGAAATGCACCTAAGAGTGTTATACTCACAATGTTTTGTTTTGTTTGGCTTCATTTAGTGACTGAATATTCATGTCTTGCTTGGAATGTCATTGGATGAGTAAAAAATAAACAAAGCATAGTCCTCATTCTGTGTAAGAGAGTCACTGAGAAATGCAAAAACATGGTAGACAAATTATTATTATGTATATCACAAAACATTAAAAAGGGCAAGAAGAGAAGATGTCCAAAAAAAAAAAAAAAATTGTGCAGTACAGAGGCAAGTAGCACTTCTGACCAGCAGGGTCAAAGAAGCTTCAGGAAGAGGAAGCATTGAGTTATGATGTGAAAAAAATGGGAATATTTCAACAAGTAGAGAAGAGGGCATGCACATTCTATTTAGAGGAAATGACTTCAGAAAAGGACAAACATGTACTCTGGAACCATGAGTTAGCACAGCTTTGTGGAAATGTCAGTTTTGTGAGGTGCACTGATAGAAGACAAAATTAGTTCAAAGGTAAGGGGGCCTGGTTTATCAAGGTCTTTCAAAGCTGTTTGTTTATATTCAAAGCAATTGTGATGACCCAAAAATTGTTTTCCATTTTGTGATAGAGAGGTACTGTCAAAGCTGATTTTGATACGATGTAAGAAAAGCTATTATGTCTCTCAGAACCAAGTGTTTCCTTTCACTAAGTGAGAAATTAATTAATTTTGCTCAGTAGTCGTTGATTTTCTTGTGAACATTGTCAGTGGCTCTAAATGTTTTAAAAAGTGGGTAAAGCGAGACACATGCACAGAAATATGGAAATAGAGCAATATGTTGATTTGAGAAACTGTGGTATAGAAATACCTAGGAATGTTAAAGGCTTATTGGTTGGTAACAACAACAGAGTGTAACTTATTAAAATCTATGAGCTTTCTTAAATGATTCAACAAATATTTATTGGCCATCCCATCCTTCTTCAAGATGCTGAGGATAGAGTGACAAAAATCAGAGGAAAAAATACACTGTGTTCAGGGAGGTTTACCTTTTCAGTTGGGAGGAGACCTAATAAGTACAATAAATAAGCAACCTCTGTCATATGTTAGAAAGCAGTAAGAGGCAGAGAAAAATCAAGTAAGATGATGAGGTAAAGGGTTTGATTTTAAATATGATGCATATGGTAGGTCCCGCAAAGGTGATTTCTGAGCAGAGAAAGGAAGGAAGTAGGAATAATTGAACTGGATAGATGTGAAGAAAGTATTCCTAGGACCTCAGGATTCTCTGGAAGCCAAGTGAAAACAGTATTTCAAAGAGGACAGATGAATCCTCTCAAAAGCTGTTAAGTAAATTGAATTGTGACAAAAGTCCATTGGATATGGTAGAGCAGAAGAGCTCTTTGGTGAATTTGCTAAGTGCAGTTTCTGTGGAGTGGTACAAGTGAGCATCTGATTGGGTGGCTTTAGCAAAAACCCAGAAGGAAAGGATTTGGAACTAGTGAAAATGTGGTTTTTGTCAGAAAGGGATCAGAGTAATCAAGAGAAACTAAAGGAGCAAGAGAATTCAAGTTTCAATACATATTATGTTTGTATGCAAATGATTCAGGAGGATGAGATGGGAAAGAAAGGAGAGGGAGAGAGAAGGAGAGAGATAGAGGCAGAGACAGAGAGAAAAAGAACTCCCTAAATCTGCTGTTTGATAGAAGGATAAGGTTTTCTCCCTCCACTTTTTTTTTTTAAGTTGAAATAAGAGATTCTGCAGGTTTTCAGAACAGATTGTTCTGTTCAGACTGCTTATTCTCAAGAGAGCCTTTAAAGGCTATTTTATCTTCTGCAAGTAAAGTTTACATTCCATTATTTTTATTTCCTCTTGAAATGTCCAGAAATTGACATTTGGAGGAAACATTTAAAAATTTTATCTCACATGTTAGAGTTTAAAGATCTATTCGGTGTGAGGTATGTGTGTGTGTGTGTGTGTGTGTGCCTGAAATATAATTTTGTAATTCTAAATTCTTTATTTCAGCATGATATCTGGAAGTTCATTGTCAGAGACACAATCAAAAAAATTAACGGTAAGAAATAATTTTTGTATGATTATGTTTTCTTAAATAAAAAGGCCGAATGGCTAATGAAAGTGTAATTTGATTACTAGTGAGGTTTTGTGGCTATAGTTCACATTTTACTAGTAAAACATTTTTTTTTTAACATAAAACATGGCATGTTCTTTTCCAAGTAGAAGACAAGTAAAAAGGGGAAGAGTAGCAGCTCAAGGATGCCCTTGGGGCCCTAGGAAAGTTAGGTGGATATGCTGTGGCCTTTCTTCTCATTTTAACATGAAATAAATGCCACACTGCTCTCTGTGGCCCTGTGATATTGTAGGCATCCTGGGATATTTTGAAGTATTTGTTTATATATTAAGTCATCCTGGAATGCAGGCATAATACAGATCCTGCACATCATTCTTTGGTTTAGCTAGACTGGGGTTTAAATCACAGATTCTTCCAGAAATATCCGGTTTCTTTGTCTTTAGAACCAGCTGACAGCAAGCCCAGCTTTGACCCTTGAGGCCTTTCTTCTTCCTCCATGACTCTGTGATTCCCTGGGAAAGCTGGATCCTTCCTACCTAAGCATAACCGTGTCCTTCCCCTGACTTTATTGACATTGAGGGGATTGTTAAGAAGTGTCCAGGCTGGGTGACATGTACACAGAGGTTCATTCTACTGTTATATGTTTGGGAATTTCCTTTAAAAAAAAACAAACGGTTATCTATATTTTCCTTGGGCTTTCTTGATTCAATTGAGAATCCTCAAAACTCCACCCAGGGACATTTCTGGAACAATCCTTTCAGTTCTAGGGTAGAGGGGATGCAGTTAAAAAAAAAAAAAAGTCACAGGACTAGGATTCAAAAGACTTGGAGTCATACTCAAAAGACCCAAAGTTACTACCTGCAAGCCTGAAACAATGGCCAAATTCTTTAAACTTTCTGAGCCTCATTTTTTATCTATAGAATAAGGATAATGCAACTTAAATAACCTACCTCAAATAAGATATTTAGAAGGTGAAATTGGTCAAGTACCTAGACATATATAAAACTATAAGCTATTTAGAATTGATAGTATTATACCCCATTTGATTCAAATGTATGATATGTCAGGATCATTGTATTGTCATGTGTAACTAAAAAAAAAGAAAAGAAAGAATTGACAGCATTCATATGGGCTCCTCTCTGAGCCAGGGGACTTGGCTCTTTTAATTTCTGTTTCTTTGGGATTTGGTGGTTCTTATCTATTACTCCCTCTATTATGCCCCAGCATCACCATCTCAAAGCAATCAATTTTCCCATGCACACCCAGAACCTCATATTTGCACAGTTATTATAGTTCATAAAACATGAACATCTCTCTTCTTCAGTGTTATTTCAATTGTTGTGGCCCCAGACAAACTGGACGTGGCTCCCAAATCCATAATAATTTTCAGAAAGGGAGCTTTCAGAAACCAAATTAGATTGGTAAATGGTTTCAATTAAAATTTTGTATTCTAATACTAGTGATAATTTAATCTTATATTGCTTTTTTTGCTAGAAAAAGAAAATCTAACAATGAATTTTTTATTTTATTTAGTACAGCTATTTATGATTTTGTTGCCCAAAGAAAGAGTGACCCTCACCCATATCATATGAACACTATCGCGCTGTTTATAAGTGAGCATCCTAGAGGTAGCCTTCTCAGGGCCAGCATGAAAAGGTCAAGGTGCCAATTACCACATTCAGGATTTCTGCCTAGGGCTCCCAGTTAGCTTCCTGGAGTTCAGAACCCACCCCTTTCCAATTTACAATTGGCGTGATTGAGAGCCCTGGGGCTGGTTCTGCTTTACTTTCAATCTTTTTACATTTCTAAAAGAATAGATTGAGCTGGAGAGAATGAGGATTAGAGACCTCAAGGCCAGAGCACATCCTCAGTGACTGCAGCCTCCTTCCACCACACAGGCCCTTTAAAGTCTGGAACTTGTAGAAATAGAGCTCAAAGGAACAGATTCTGCTGGGTACCATGAGGCACCCAACTACAGGAAGGTCGTGAGTGCCTCTTTTAAATAATTATTTGAGTTTTGATAGTGAAGATTGAGATGAAGGACAAAATCCTTTTGGTTATATGGTGACTTCTTGACCACCATGTAGATTTAAACACATTCTATCTCTGAGTCACCACTAAACTGCTAGGATGGATCTTTATTTTCTCACTGCCAAGTGATTTGTGATCTGCCCCTGGATCCTTATAGCTGCATGGGAGGGTGGGGTCCAGAGACATCACTATCAATGGAGACTTTTCTTCTTTATTATTACTATTATCAATTTAGAAATTAAGAAGTTGAAACTGAAGGAGGCTCAAGGAGCTTTCAGATGTTGAGATCAAAGAGTATATATGTTCACTCCACACGTAGGAACCTTATAGGGTAACCCAGTGAGTAAACACTTCTCAAGTGCCATGCGGTTCCCATGTATTTCAACCTTATTCCTTTGGGCTATGTAAACTGTTACCTTTGCTCCATTGTAACATCTTCTGACAGAAAACAGCTAGTGCATATAAATCATCTCATTTGAAACTGTTTAGGAAATAAAAATTCTATTGCAAGGAAGCTTGGCCTGAACAGGATCAGGATTGTTCTTCCTGAACTGCACCTGAGAATTCTGGCACATAGAAATGAGCCATGTAAAGCACGTGATGACATTGGTTATGTCTAGTGGCACGTCCCACAACAAGGAATGTGGGTATGAATCTGTCAGCTAGAATATGTATGAAGTAGGTCTCTTGTTGTGCAAAAAAAAAAAAAAAAAAAGGGAGGCCTATAATAAAACCTCATAAACCATTTAGCTTTCAAGTTGTTGTCTGGTAATAACTTCATTAAAGAATCATTATTTTAAGTGCTAAAGATACAAAAGCACTTTTTGGTTTAAAATTTGCAAGGTCATATTCATAGCATACTATATAGAAATGCAGCCTTACAAAATGGCTTTTAAAGTAGCTAAAAAGACTTTATAAAAAGATTGTATAAATCAGGAAGGTAAACTATGCCTTGTGTGAAATCATAAATTCTGCTCTTTCTTTAGCACTCAGCATAACACACTATTTATTAGTTTTGCAGGAAACACTTATTTGGTCATATTTCTGATGTCTCTAAATTTTAATATTTTAAGATGTCTTTTAGAAGATTCTTCTCTTTAATGAGAAAAGTTTTACATCCTTTCTGAATCAAGGCTATCAATATCATTGTGCTTTAAATGAATATTTCAAGTACTTTAAGTAAATTCCTATTCTTTCTTAAAATGAGAGTGACACATGTATATTTAAATGTAAAGATTTGTTGCTGTTGTAGAAAATAGATTTTTTATTTTACCATTTTAATAAATAAGAAACAGTAACTCCAGGAGTTGGAAATAAATTAATGTTTTAGTCAGATTTCTTGCTGCTGTGACAAAAATACCTGACAAGAACAATTTTAAGGAGGAAAAGTTTATTTGAGGTTCACACTTTTAGAGACATTCCATAGAAGCTCCATTCTTCAGGGCTCCAAATGAGGCAGAACATCATGGTGGAAATGCATGGTGGACGGATGCAGCTCCCAGATGATCAGGAAGGAGGGAAGGAGAGAGAGAGAGAGAGAGAGAGAGAGAGAGAGAGAGAGAGAGAGAGAGAGAGCACTTCCACTCATCAGAAATAAAATATATACCCCAAAGGCATGTCCCCAAGGACATATTTCTTCTAGCCACACCCTCCCTGCCTTCAGTTACAACTCAGCTAATCCCCATTAAGGGATTAATTTACTAATGGGTTAAGGCTGGCATAACTCAATCGTTTCGCCTCCAAGCCTTCTTGCATTATCTCACATATGAGCTTTTGGGGGACACCTCACATCCAAACCATAACAAGAAGCAAATAAGCAAACAAAGAATGGATGAATAAGGAAGGAAGGGAAGGATGGAAGAATGGAGAACTTTAGGACATTCCATTTTGCCTGCCTCTTCCTATTCTTCATCTACCTTTACTGAGTCATAATCCACAAATTTAAAATATATGAATTAAGTCTGGACATGCATTTACTCACATGAAGCTGTCATCACAATCAGGATAGTGAACTTATTCATCAGTCCTAATTCCTCAGACCAATCAGGAATCTTGCCCACCTACCCTCACTCAAGCTTTTCCTTGAAATACATGGAGTCATACAGTTTTTTCTGGCTTCTCGTACTCAACAGTTATTTTGAGGTTCACTCATGTTGTGATACGTGTCAGCCGTTTGTTTTTACTGTGGAGGGGTATTTCACTGTATTAGATGGACCAATTTGTTTTTCCCTTTGCCTGATGATTGACATTTAGGTCACTTCCAGTTCTGGACTCCTGTGGACATTTGTGAAGTCTTCGTATGGGCATATGCTTTCTTTTGTTTTGGGTAAATACATAGGGGTGGAATGGTTGAGTTCTTTGATAAATGTTCTTTTAACTTTAACAAAAAGAATTTTAAACTATTTTTCCAAATGGTTATACCAGCGCTGGGGTTGTAGCTCAATGGTAGAGTGCCTGCCTAGCATGTGTGAGGCACTGGGTTTGATTCTCAGCACCTCATATAAATAAATAAATAATAGAGGTCCATCATCAACTAAAAAAATTTTTTTAAAAATCATTATATCATTTTTACTTTCTCACCAGCAATAAATGAAAGTTCCATTTATGCATATTCCTTCCAACCCAGCCTTTTTAATTTTAGCCTTTCTGATAGGTACAATTGTATCCCATTGTAGCCTTAATTTACATTTCCTTAAATAACAATGTAGAACATCTTCTCCTGTGCTTATTTACCATCTTTCTACCTTATTTGGAAAAATAGCTATTTGAATATTTTGCCCACTTGTAAGTTGTGTTGTTTATGTCTTAGTATTTGGTATTGTTTTTTTTTTTAATGTATGAACTATAAAGGGGAAGTACCTACAAATAAATCTAACCAAAGAGGAAAGAAAGCTCGACAGTGAATGGTAGAGCACTTACCTAGCATTGTGAGGCACTGGGTTCTATTCTCAGCA